TAATAAATATTTAATATTTAGGATTTAAATTTTATACGCACCCACACATATGCGTACCCCTACATGATTTATTAATTTTATAAAATTTAATTGGCTAGTTAAGCATATAATCAATAATTTAATTTTATTTGTTAATTTTTTTACACATGATCATCTCTTTTTTTTTATATTATACCCTTCTTTTTTTAAAGCTTCGCTTAACAATTAACATTAAAAATTTAACTCTTTTCCCTATCATTTTTTGGTATTTTTCTAGCTTTAACTTTGAAAATGGTAAGTTTAAATATTAATATATAGCTTTTTTGACGTATTTTATTTCTTTAATTAACTGATATTATTCTTTTTTTTTGTAGGTATTTTAAATCTCAGCTAATTAGTAGTATTCTTTTACATTTACTTAAACCTGATTGCTTTTTCTTTTTGAACGTAACTTTCTATTTCTCAAGAGTATTCAATATGAAAAGAAGAGATTGGTTCTTTTGTTATAAGCTTAATAAGTATAGGTTTCTATACATTACTTATAGGTATTATTATGTTCTTCTTTCTTATTTTCGTTCGTTCTTTCATTTTTTATTGCTAATTTTGATTTCTTTTTAGGTATGATTTTCTACTTTTTCTGTAGGATTAGGTATGGCTTTGTTTTTATGCTTTTCTTTTTTATTTTCATTCTTTTATGTTTTTTCATTTATTTTTTATACTAATTTTTATTTTCTTTTAAGTAGAAGGGCTTTTTTCTTTAATATTTTGTTTTAAAAATGTTATTAACATTTTAATGTTCTTTTTGTTTCTTTTTTGTAGAAAAAAGCCCTTTTCTCACATACATTAGAAGGTAAATCTGAAGCGGAGGCCATTTTTTCTTTAATATTTCAGTTTAAGAACGTTATTAACGTTCTTTATTTTTTTTTTTGTAGGAATAATTTCTTGGACCTTTTTTCACAAGCATTTGGAAGGTAAATCTGAGGTGAAGGCTATTTTTTCTTTAATATTTCAGTTTAAGAACATTATTAACGTTTTTTATTGTTTTTTTTTATAGAAAATCTTTCTTCACGAGCATTTAGAAGGTAAATCTAAAGGGAAGGTTATTTTTTCTTTAATATTTCAGTTTAAAAATATTATTAACATTCTTTATTATTTTTTTGTAAGAGACCTTTCTTTACAAGTGTTTAGAAGGTAAATCTGAAGGGGAGGCCATTTTTTCTTTAATAATGTTATTAACATTATTAATATTCTTTTTTGTTTCCTTTTTGTAGGAAGAACCTTTTGGGTCCTTTCTTCATGAGCATTGGAAGGTAAATTTGAGGAGGAGGCCATTTTTTCTTTAATATTCGGTTTAAGAATGTTATTAAGCTTGTTGCAAATATTATAAATTTTTAGATAATTTGTTTTGAATAATTTACAACAGACTGCTATATGCAAAATTTTTTTAATATTATTTTAGAATATTAGTAATAATTTCAATGATTTTAATAATTTTTTATACAATTGTACTTTGAGCAATTATTTTTTAATAAAAAAAAATTTATTCAATAAAAACAATATGATTATTTGCATTTAATGATGTAAAACTTTATTAATAAATGAATGCACATATAAATATAAAACAGTGCATCTGATATATTTATTTACGTATATTGCCTCCTTTCTATATTGGTAACAATTTCATTTACATCATATTCATCATCTTCATCATCTTCATTACTGGATTCATCATCACTTGATTCTTCGTGCTCATTGTTATTACAAAAATTAATGATTGAAAATTAATCATATTTAAAATATCCAAATTTAAGTCCTGCTCATTTGTATAAAAATGTTCAGCTGGATTTGGCAGTTCCGCATTCTCTGATTCTTCCAGATAAGCTTCTTCCTCAAATTTATTAAAAACTGTCTCTGCAATATTTTTCATTGTTTCAGAAGATATTTTTGTTTGAATTTTATGGAATTTTTCTGCAACAGTTGATAAATTAAACTGATAAACCTTTGCCAACTCTTCTAGCTTGTCAATTTCTAATCGAGTTCGACATTTTCCATAAAGCCACCCTAAAAATGAAAATATACGTTCACATGCTGCAAAACTTGGTGTAATAGAAAATAATTTTATTGCCAATCGCTGTAGATAATTTGGCTTAACTTCACATGTATTTCACTATATTAATGGCGTATTACTACCAATTGTGTAAGAAGCTACATAAGGGTTTAGCTTTCCATTTACAATACGTATTTGCTCTTTATAAATATGCATTTGAGCTAATAGTTATTCACAACTTTTTTTTAATTTACCCATTTTTTGCTATAATTCTCCAGCATAATTTGCAATTAATGAAAATGCACCAAATTTTAATCCCACTCCCTTGTATGTAGGATGAAGAAAAATGCAAGTTGGTAAACAGGATCATTGAATTCTTCAAATCTATGATTAAATTTTTTTATACAATGGTTACAAAATCCCTTATATTTATCAGCAGGAAGATTTTGAATTACTGCTGCAATTTTAATTAGATTTACATATACATCTGCAAGTGTAGAATTAGCCGCTTCAACTGCTAATATTGCATTTTTTATTGGAAATAATACTTCTGAAAGATGTTGCATATCGCTAAAAAATCCCCTACTATGAAGAATTGTTAAAATAGCTGGAGTTGTAATAACTTCAGAATGGTTATCTCAAATATCCTCTAAGCAATTTTTGAGTCGTACAATTAAAAAAACACATTTGTATACAGTTGTCCACCTAGTTTCAACATATGTTTTGAGAACACCACTAATTTCATGTTGTTTAATCTTTTCTTTCAACATTGCTGCAGCTTTATAAGATTTTTTGAAAAATTGAACTATTCTATTAACACGTTAAATCATTCTTTCTGCAAATACACATGCTGATCAAAAATATCCGGCCACTTTGATTTGGCAAAATTATGTAGATCATGACATATTAATATGACGTAATCAACACGTTATTTTATATTTATAATCATAATAAACATATCCCCAAACCTTATGTTTTCTAGAACTTTCTAAAAATATAAAGCTACTTACCCCAAAAACACGTGGTGCTATTGTTTATGGTCATAATTGTGGACAATCAAGTCGCACAATTGCTAAGCAGTTGGGATGTGGGAAAACAACTGTTAACGATATACTTAAGCGCCTTCGTGAAACTCATTCCTTAACACCAAAAAAACAACCAGGCCGTCCTCCACTTTTAAATTCAACAGCTCAGCAGGAACTTAAGAGTTTTGTTCAATAAAATGGTTAAAACCGTTTGCTTTGTACAAAAAAGCTTGCAACAGTTTGGACAGCTCATACAAAACAGCCTATTTCTGCTGTTACCATACGTTGTAACCTAAAGAAAGTTGGGCTTACTGCTTGTATGCCACGTAAAACACCTGCAATGACAGAGGCACACTATCAAGCTCATCTCGAATGGGCCCATGCATATGAAAACTGGGAACAAGATGGTGGAGGAGAGTACTTTTTTCAGACGAAAGTACTTTTACACAATTTCAACAAGGCCGTCAGGGAAGGGTATGGCGTGAACCTGGGAAAGAATTAAACCCTGACTGTGTTGCAGTTACTGTAAAACATAGTCCTAATAAAATGTTTTGGGGGTGTTTTTCCTGAAATGGGCTTGGACCAATTGTTCCGATAAATGGTTCAGTTACTGAACAAACTCATGCCAAAATTATTAATGATTATATCATACCTACTTTGCATGACTTTTTCCCACAAGGTAATGGAATTTTCCAAGAGGATAATGCTCCACCACACCGTTCAAAAATTGCAATGACCGCCCATGAAAATACTGGAATTGTAGTTCTCAATTGGCCGTCACAAAGCCCTGACCTAAATCCGATTGAGAATCTTTGGTCGGAGATGAAAGTAATGGTACGTCGTCATACTTCACCACCATCTAGTATTAAAGTCCTTGAAAAATATGTTAAGGATGCATGGAAGGATATTCCGCATGAATATTATAAGAAATTAATTGATAGTATGCCCCAAAGAATTGAGGCAGTTATTGCCGCAAATGGCAATAGAATTAATTATTAAATATTATTAATTTTTTTTATAATTTAATAAATTGAGTCATAAATAAATATATTTTATTTAAATTTTTATTTTTGTCATATTAAATTTATAAATTTATTTCATTTTGAAAAGTGGCCAGATATTTTTGATCGGCATGTGTATATGTAATATAATATCTTTACTAATTAAATTATAACACTGAGCAATACATCTAATATTTAAAATTTTTTTATATTTTGAACAAATTAAATGTCTGGCAGATGCTACATTAGCTCTATTATCGCTCACAATTGCTATAATTTTTTTGCTACCAATGTGATTTATTACTAATTCTATCTGATTTACTAGAAATTCAGCAGTATGTGATTGATTGAGTTCATAAAGATATTCCTCTCAAGTTGAAGTTAAAACAATAAAATTCCAAATAGATGATCCATCAGGAACGGTGTGACATGTTGCCCATAGGATATTAAAATAAAATATCGTATGTTGCTACTGACGTGTTGAGTTTGTATAGTATCTATGCTTGGTTTAAAATAAAAATTAGTCGTAAAAAATTACAAAACATTATTTTCTTACCAAAATATTATTTTAAAATCTCGAACTTAATAATATAATATTAATTAATTTTCAAGCGTACAATGAGCATATTCAAATTTGAATAACTTTTTAATAATTAATATTTTAATATTATTTTATTTGAGCCAAAAATTAACTGCGGAATTTCCTATCGAAATCCACTTGTATTTATACATTTTTAAGAAAAATATTTCTCATATTTTCTATTTTTTTTAATAAAATTTTATCATATGACTATCTCGTTACACTAAACTAAACTATAAATATAATTTTATTGGCTAATTATTTACCCATTGGCTAATTATTTATCCTTCAGCTAATTATTTATCCTTCAGCTAATTATTTATCCTTCAGCTAATTATTTATCCTTCGGCTAATTATTTATCCTTATTCTATTTTATTATATTTTCGGTTATTACAACGGTCCAACCATTAAGGCTAATGGTAAGATTATTAGTAAATTCTAAAATCTCATCAATTTTATTATTAACTTTTGCTACTTCATTATCCAACAATTGTTTAGAAAGAGTTTTGTGAAATGGTGCAATATAATTAGGATTAAGAATTTTCAATGCATTTATAAAAAAAGGATTGTTAATTACATGAAAGGGAATTCCACACATAATAAATGCTAATGAAATAACTTCATCAATAAGTAATGCATCCATTTCAGGTTAATTAGCAACTAATTTTTCTACTTTTTTCCAATTTTAAGTAATAACTGATTTACCAGTAAGAGGTTTATCTATTGAGATATCATTCAAATTATCTTTAGAAATATCTTTGCAATTATTAACAAGATGTGCATACAAAGCATTTGGTTTAGCACATGGATAAAATTTTTTGCAGTATTTGCAGGTTCCTTTCCAGTGACCATCACCTTTGGACTCTCCTCTATCAAAATATTTCCAAACTCCACTTTGTGGACGACCTGATTTTATATGAGTTTCACTTTCTTTTTCCATTTCAGTATTACTTAAAGTTAATCTATTATTTGGGCTTTATTCTTGCTTAGTCATTTTTAGAAAGAAAAAAAATGTTTTTAATAAGCAAATAAAAGATGCATGAATAAACATTAAATAAAAAATGGGCAAATTTCTATTATGGTAATTTTTCATTGATGATATTACTTTTATTGACATACTTTACAGTATTAAGTAAATGTTTATTCAATATACAAAAATAAAGAAGAACCATAATAAAAACTTTTATTTAAATAAATTACTAATGTGTTTTATAAAAAATACATGAGTAAAAATTAAGAAATTAGAATTTTTATATTTTATAAAAAAAAAAACTTGATTTTTTGAATTTGTGTAGCATTTTCATTTATTTACAATTTACAATCTATTACAAATTTAACATATTACAATTTAATTATGTATTACAACTTGATTACGTATTACAACTTTATTACGTATTACAACTTTATTACAGCATTTTCGTAATTTTGAGTTGTAATTCAAAACTAGGGTTGCAACCAAATTGTAATCTAAAATGTTCATAATTATTAACCAACCTTATCTGCCAATATTAATCTTAAAGAGACGATCTTACTACCATTTGATTTGTCTTGATGAGATGAATCTAATAGTATAAAATACATCATTAAAACTAAAAAATTTTAATAATTATTATGCAATAATTCTGCTAATATTGATCTTAAAGAGATGATCTTATTACCATTCAATTCGTCTTGATGAGATAATCTAATAGTATAAAATACATCAAAATTCAACCACTAAATCAATTTTCAAAATTAAAAAATATTAAATAGTTTTTGAGTAGTAACTCTGTCAATATTGATAATAAAGAGATGAGCTTACCACTATTTGATTCGTCTTGATAAGATGATTCTAATGAGCTATTAATTGTTTTTTTATAATCACTAAGCACTAAGCAATTTAGCAAATATTAAATAGTGCAGTAAACGTAAATCAAAAAATATCATAATGCCGAATTTTAATATTTTGTTAAATAACTTATCAGCCAGTGATTGTAAAAAGATAAAACTTGGCTGTGTGTGTATTACTTACTCTAAAAAAGGCTCTGCTCTGATGTCTTATTGGCTCCCTACCTCTGATCTTGATTCATCTACTTTTCACCCTTGTTCTAGTTGCTTTTATCATGTTTCTCATCTTACTTTCCAGAAGTCGTTATACTAGTGAATATTACTTCTTTCAAGTTTTGCTCGCTGATATTATCGCCTACTCTACAAGAAAAGCTAAAGTCTTCGTTACTAAACATTCTATTACTTTGTTATCTTCTTTAAGATATACCACCTCTTTGGCAATGACGCACTTTAATCATTCACGATAGTGCCTTGATATTTCTTTGCTGATAGTGAACAGTGAAGTTGACTTAACTACTTCATCTCCTATCTCTACCAGTGTTATTTATACTGACAGCTCCTTTATTAATACTTCACCTGATGTCTCATTACCTTCTATGACTTCAGTCTGGATGGCTCTTAATGATATCCTTGAGTCTTCCTTTGCTTGCCTTCCCTCAACCTTTCCTTCCACCTTACGGTCAGAAATTGCCACCCTTTTATATACTTTATGTGCTCTTGTATCTAGTTTCTCTGTCTTTTTATATACTGATTATGCCTCAATTATTTTCTTTTGGCATCAATATATTGATAGACCTTTCTTACCAGACTTTTTAAAGCAAACTAGTATTTGGAATCAAATATATTCAAATATACTCGAGTATTCATTTAAATTTATAAAGTGTATTCGAATAATATTCGAATAAGTTAAATTTCCTTTTATAGTAATTATTTACATAATTTTTTGCCTGAATTATGATTTTAACTCAGTTAAATTTAAGGATTTAATGCCCAATTAGAATTTTAACTATACTATATCTGGCTAAATGAATACTCGAATAACCACTATGCTTATTCGAATACTCGAATATACTCGAGTTATTCGAATAACTGTTACATGATTCCAAACATTAAAGCAAACCAACCATCTGCTTTGGCTCTCCATACGGGATTTAATTTATACCAACAAGTTATCCAAAGTCCTCGCTCATGCTGATGATATACTCAATAACCAAGTAAATGCATTATCTAAATCTGCGTATATTAGCTTCCAACCTACTATTGCACCAATAGTGATGATTCGTAGTCCTTGTGCTTTGGAATTTAATTCTCTTCTAATCGATGATAATATTCATCATTTTTTAAAATCTATTTATAAGGCAAAAAACTTATTATTCTTTAGTTCTTTTACTCGATTCGTCAATCTAGATACTCTTTTAAACTTTAACTGGTCTGGTATTTACTTTTGGTTTTCTTAATTCAAGCACTTTGCTTTTCACAAAAATAGCCATTCCAGTTTTTAGGCTTTTCGCATTAAAATCTTTTTGGGCATGCTGTTTACATTATCTGCTTTACAGAAACACCATCCACTTTCTTATTCTTCAGATTGGCTCTATTTTTATGCAATACTACTCCTGAAAACTTGACACATCTGTGGACCTGCCCTTATATCCTTCTGGATATTAGCTCTCAGTCTGTCTACCGCTCTCTTATAACTTCTTTTAGAGACAATTGCATTGCAAAATTTTCTGCTCTGAAGACTCTACCTGATTCTTTTGATGAAACTTTTTCTGCTTTTAAATACTGGAACTTTATTACACCTTCCATTTCTTGCTTATGGCTTACTAGCCTTACTTGAGCGTTAACACTTACCACCTTTCTCAATAATTATTTTTCTGAGAAATGTATTTTTGAAACACTTTCTCCTTTTCTACATAACCTTCATTGGCACTTATATTGGGATATTTGAATGTGTCAGAACAAATATTTTCATTTTTGGCTTAAATCTTAATCTGACTACAATGGAAATAAGTGTTACTTTTCTTTATTGATCCCTTCTTTTATGGCTCCTCTTAATTCTCCTTTCTCTATGACAACAGTATCTCTGGATTTCTGAGTTTCTTGGATATCATCTTCTATAATTCAAGGTAGTTCTTGAATTTCACACTTGGATTTTCTGTACCGCTTAACAGTTCAACTTTTTAGGATCTCTTTCTGGTAACAAAATGGATTTTGAAATGTTGGATAGTTGACTTACACTGGCTTTCAGGTAAAGTTAAGATATGCGATTCTGTAATAGTTTAGTTTTCTTTTCTTTAAATTTATTTTTATTTTAGTTTTCTTTACTTATATGAGTTGTGAAACTACTCTTTTTATTTTTTATTTATTTTCTTATTTTTGTAATATTGTTTGATCTTTAAATTTTTAAAGTTAAATATAAATAAAAAATAAAATCACAGAACTATTTGCACAGTAAAAAGATAAAACTAAAGGGCTGATCACTCTAGTGCAATTATTAAGGTGGCACTCCCTCATATAGCCTAAGTATGGTAAGATCGCAGGTTCAATTTCACTGATCACAGAAATTAAACAAATTTTACTGTAGATACTACCATTAGAAATAAGGATGGTTCGCTTAGTTCTATTTCAGTTTACCGTTAGTCCCACATTAGTTCCTATTAAGAAAAATATAAGCTACATATATTAAATTAAAGATATATATGAGTTGAAATAATCATTATAATTTTGATGTTGATCATATTTTAAACCAGTTTTTAGAACTAGTTCAGAACTGGTTCAATTCAATTTTTGAAAGCTATTAAAAATTATTTTTAACTTATAAATTTTCTTTTTTTTATTTATTGTAAAAATATTAGTATTTCTTTATTTCCAATAAGATTTTTGGCTTATATAAGTTTGAAACTTATGGAATTTTAATTAATTTCAAAAACTGCTCAAAATTACATAATTGAATTGACTCCATTCCTAGCTACCATCAATAGCATAAAGATACAAGAATTAGTGTAGTTAGACTGCATCATAGTAAATTAATATGTTTTGAACAAGCATATTTCAATAAAAGATCATAGTGTCCTTCTAATGTTCCCTAAGAAGCTATTAGCATGTACACAGTTTTGTCTTTAAGGTCACTAGGTATATACCTTAGAGAGAATTTCTTATTCAGGTGGTCACTCTATGATACCATTTAGGGTCTAACTGAATGTAGCTAGATAATCGTTCCAAATAGTAAAGTCCCTTTCCTTCTCTCCAATTGTAGATAGCCAGTTGGATGCTTACAGCTGTGGTAGTTTCAGTTATAAACCTTTGGCCTTCTAATAGGCGATAGATCACGAAGAGATGTTCATGCACAGAACAGATAGCATGGTTATAGGATTTGATTCCCCATTTCTTGGCTAGTAGTTGATACTCACTATAAGGGGTAATCTTGAACAGATGTCTGCTACTTTCCATCTGAATAATCACTACAAAAGTATACCACTTGGAGTTTTACAACAGTACTATAGGGGAGTAGTGAAATCGCAGGTTGTAATGGTCTTGAGCGAGTTATCGAGTTGTCTGATTGTTGGTCATCATTAGTATGGAAGGGTTACCAGATAATTGATGTTACCTGTCAAAAGTCCTTTATGATAGTATATGCTTTTTAAAGGTCATAAAATAAATTGAGTATAGAATTATGTAATAAGTGTAGAACAAGTAGAATGGCGTATCCTAGCTTCAGATTAGCTTTAATGGCCTAATAGGAGATGTCCTTATGCATAGTTCTGCCTATCTGAGGAATTTAAGTATTCGGTTAAGTGGTTACCTCTTCATATGGGCTGATTTGTTTACCTTTAATTAAAATATTGATTTTATTACATTTTTATTATACAAAATACTATATAATATACAGTAAATTGGGGATGAGTATTAAAAAATTTTCATTTAATTTTATTATACTATAATTTGGTAAATATTTCTTTTAAATTAATATAATTCTTAGCACTTACTATATATGTTAAAAATTTGTATCTTAACTTTAAACGTAAATATCTCCAGATCCAATGATCCAATCGGCAAGCTCTTTTTTCGCTCATATAGACCAGATTAAGGGCTTTCCAAAGAGCCTAAATTTATAAAAAATGAATTGGTGGATCCCAAGATATTTGCATTTAAGCATGTTAAAAAGTTCGTACCTCAACTTTAAACGTAAATATCTCCGAATCTAATGATTCAATCGGCGAGCTCTTTTTTCGCCTATAAAGTCCAGAACAAGAGCTTTCCAACGAGCCTAAAATTATAAAAAACGGATCAGTGGATCTTGATATATTTGTGTTTAAACATGGTAATACAAATTCCGATATAAAATAATTATTTTTATTGTTTGAAAATATCTATTATAATACCATCTTTTATATGATATTTTTATTATATTTTTATAAACATTTATAGCTACTAAGACTATATAAATTTTATTTTACTTTATATTTTATTAAAATATACTTACTTTTTAATAATATATGTTAAAAATTCCATATATATGAGAAATGGGTTTTTTATTAGTGAAATGGGTTTTTTCACAGCTTTTTTACATTTAATAATTTAAGTTTCGCAAATGTAAATTTTTGTTCAACTTATTATTTAATCAAGTGATCATCAATCAGATGATTTTTTGGTATTACAAAATAATTTTGAGTAACAAAAATTGTGAAGATCAATTTAATAACTCTTTTTAATGCAGAGTAAACAAATCAGCCCATATGAGTAGGGATGATAGGATATTGGCCTGAGAATGTCTCAAAAGGAGGTAAAGGGAAGCCTAACCATAAACTCTAACAAAAAAAAAGATAAAACTACTACCATTTAAGGTTGCCTGCCGAAATTAAAAAGAAAATTCTGAAAGGTTTCGGCCAATCAAATCAAATGCCAAAAATGCTGAAATTAGGCCGAAACTCAGTCTTAATTTTGGCCAAAATTAAAATTCAGCCGAAATTATGACATTGTGTCACGTGATATTACACTGATTTCCAAAAAAGGAAATTCTGTTTTCCAGTAAAATTGGTAAAATCAGTTTCACAAGGGGTACACAAAATTCCAAAAAGGAAATTTATAATGTTGATCATTTTCTGGCCAGAATTACGTCCTAAAAATGGCCAGAATTATACCAATAATTTTGGTCAAATTTCAGACTTTTCGGCAATAATTTTGGCATTATAAATTTTGGCAAATTTATTTTTGATTGCCTAAACTTTTGGTTACAAAAAAGTTTCAGCCTTGGCCTAAATTACCTAATTTCGGCAAGCAACTTTAATACCATTCGATTCATCTCAGTCAGATGATTCTAACAAGCTATGGTATATCTTTGTATAATTATTAGATATTAAGTTATTTAATATATTCTTTATATAACTATGATTATAAACAGTTTTTCTTAATATAAGATTTTTGAGGATAGGTATAATAGTGACTATAGATAGATTGTAACTAATAGGATAGATTTTAATAATAAAGTGTTTTGAACATTCAACTGATGTGACTATATAATAGAATGTGATTATAACGGGAGTGACTATAGAGAAAGTTAATTGTATTACTATTATTAATTGTACTACTAAGAATATTTTCTTTGATAGATTTAAATACATTGGAAAGAAATTCTTTTAAATATTGTACAAATTGATAATATTATTATAAGTCATATGATATAATATATATTTGTTTATTTTTAAAAAAATTTCAAAAATGGAATGGAGTATATTAAACAAACTATTAAATTGGAGTGGCCTTAATAATTTTTTAAAGTATTATTATAAATCTAAATACAATAACTTTTAAAATAATTGTACAATTATTTTATAAAATTTTTAAAATATATTTAAATATATTTGAAGTATCTTTGAAATTAATATATTAAAATAATATTAAAGTTAATTATATAATTATAAAAATATTTTAAATTATTTTTATAAAACTAGATTAATTTTTGCATAAATTAAATTTTTTTTCTGAGATTCAATTTGATTCAAATTTAACTTGAACTTAATTCAAATTATAAAAAATATTATTTTGAAATCTAATGATCTGATTTTAATAATTATTTTTTTTAATTAATAGCTTTTATTACCCTAATTAAAATAAAAAATCATTAAAATCAGACTGTTAGATTAAATATTATTTGCAAAAAACATTTTACACTTTAAAATTATACTATATTATAAATTGATTTATCTGAAACACTAAACTAGATACAATAATACAATTACAAAATAATAATAAAGTATAATAAAAGCAGTGTTGGGCAATTGGACAATTGGACGTTTTGGACATTTGTCCAAAACCTGTCTAAAACTTGTTCAAAACCAAAACCTTTTTTTCATTGGACAGGTTTTGGACAGATCACATGACAAAAAATTTAATTTTGGCCAGAATTATGACTAATTTTGGCTAATTTTAATTTTAGTTCAATTATTAAATTACTTCAAAAATCTTTAAATGTTAATTTTTAATATTATTTTGATTTTACATTAATTTTTATTATTTAATTATATTAAATATTTACTTTTTTAACATTTTAACATTATATTTTCATTTTATTTTTAGTTTTAGTTAATAAATATTAAGACTCTTGAGCAGTTTTAAACTGTCCAAAACTATGTCCAAAACTATGTCCAAAACTATGTCTAAAACTGGTTTTGGACAGTCCAAAATTGTCCAATTAAAAAAACCAATTGGACAAGTCCAAAACCCAATACTGATAAAAGCATTTTAATATATTAAAAAACTCTTTCCACTTATTTTTATTTTTTTTTTATAAACTTTTATATATTTAT